CCCATGCAAAAAATTATTTACGAGCACACTATTTGTCATTACATGAAAATCTTTCTATTTCAATTCCAGAAGTTTAAGAATTTTATGACCATCATAACAGATGTAATAGAAACATACAAATTTAAGATTAGGTTACATTAAACCTTAGAACAATTTCTTGGTTTGAAAAGCTATAATAGTAAGGAAGTGTAATGAGCCCACTTATTCATCATGTTTTCCTATGCTTAAGAGAGCAACATTGAAGAGACCCATGAAGGGATATTGAAAGAACTTGTATAGGAAATTTTCAAAATTCTTAATTAGAATTCATCTTAATTAGGTTGAGGTTCTGAATAGTGCAAACCTTCATATTACTTACAGGGACTGAGCTCTGTTTATTTATCATAAGAGGATTCATTTCTCTCAATTGCTTAAACTAGTCAGCTAACATAAATTTTGCAATAAAAATATTTATATGTAAAATAAATTTATTTAATTTAAAGAATATGTAAAAAATGTATATATATATTTTATCATACCAATCATTTTTAAATCTGCAATTTGGTGACTTCAGAATGTCGATTGTAAATTTTATATGCATTTGTGAAATCCTACAAATTAATTAGATGCTTATAACAAAATTTTACAAAAAACACATGAACAGTCCTTACATCAAAACTTTTAAAGTTTGCAGCAGTAATGTTTTGTAAGCAACAAATATTTTATTTGTAAAAATAAAAGTTTGATGCGTTGTTTCGTTTAGAGAGAGATTTTTTTTTCACTGCAGTGTAATGAAATTATTTTGCAATGAGCACCTACATACATATCTGGATTCAAAGCAGATAATAAAATCAAGGTAAGGTCATTAGCAAAGTCCTTTAAGTTTCCTTTTTATTATTAAAAGGAATATAGCAGCAGATAAAAGTAAGTCTTAAATAGTTTTGTTATAAATTGAATGAATTTGTATATACTAGCTTAAATGAGAGATTATCCTTCCTCTCTAAAGGTTTGCTCAACGTTGACAACTGTAGTAAAGTTTTAAAAATACTTACCCAAAGTAACTGAGATAAATAAGTCTGTGTGATGAACAGTTGTTGATTTTATTACAGTTAAAAATAAATAATAGTTATAGGTAAATTCTGCATGTATTTATCTCTCTATATTGCTTATAAATTTTTAAAACCTGAATCATATTTTGGTATGTATGATCTAAACAGTTTTTCTGCCAAGGCTTTGTGAAGTTATTTATATATAGCTTCTTTCAGACTTAATTTTTGACTTGAGGTTTTAGTAATTAATATTATTTAAGAAACTTTGTCTAATTGTGTTAATATTTATTATTTGGGAGATTTGAAATAATTATAACTTAGGCTCAAATGAATGTTAGCTTTTTTATAAATTTGAAGCATTTTGCTCAAATCTTTCCAAAAAACAGCATGACTAAAAATATCTTAATAGTTAATTATTTAAAAGATAAATATAAGCCAAATAATTAAATAAGATAGCCATTCAGATTATGGTAGTTCAGATTACATGAAACCTTTTCGAAAAAATTTATAAATTTTGATAAAGACAACTATTATGATTTTTGAATGTGAATTCTTAAGCATTTTAATAATAGAAAAAAAACTCAGTGAGGTTTAGAGTACAAGGAGCATGGAGTCTTTATACTCTATGATGCGAATTTTTTGCAAGGAAATTCCCCACTATAGCTTATTTAAAGCCTGAGCAAACACTGGTACAGGTATACTACAACTTCTGTATTATTTGCACCGAGTGAAAATTTACTGCACTATGCCAAAACACACTAAGGCTCTTTTAAAGGAAAGGATGCTTTCATGGAGGACATTTTATTGGAAATAGCTTTGTATTCACTTTACATGTGGAGAAAACCATAAAAACTTCTATGCAGCCACTGGTTCACTAGGACTTGAACCCTGGTTGAACTATCAGTGTTTCTATTGATGGTTTGAAGACTGGTCTGTCGCTTGAAGAATCTTTGTTTGGAAAAGAACACCACAAAATTGTTCCTTCATCTTAAGAATGAAATCAGTCATAAGAGTGGAAGTCTAGGAAGTTTGATGTATGGTAGACACCACGTCTTACAAAATGATGGGAGGATTCTGTTGAATATGTCTCTACTTTTTTTGCAATGCTGATCATTGATTAAATTCCAGTTGCGAATGTCATGGTTTTTACAATTTTAGACTGCTGACTCATACAAAACTCTTATTCTTCTCATCACAGCATATGCAGGTAAGAATAGATAGATATTGAATCAATATCTTACATGAGTGAGAAACACTGGTTCCATGTCATAATATATATATATATATATATAGCAATGTTGCTACTATTTAAGTTCCAACCCACATATTAACATGTTTGCTTCTGTATGGAGCCATGTAGTTTGCTCAGAAACACACACACATGAGGGATATCTGGTAGAGGCATAGTCCCTGTATAATTTTTCAGTGAATCTCATAGCAGCGTAAGTAGTGGTCTATAAGAAGCTAAGACTCATATTTGTGAGATGTCTCAGACTTTTTAAAATCATATTTTTGATTAAAACAACCCTTAATTCTCATATTGGAGTTAGTTTGAGATATTACTCTGCAGAATTGCACGTTGGAATGAAATTAATTAATAAAATTAAATTGTATACAACTTCTAAAACTGATGCTTTTACATACTATCTAAAAAATCAAATGTAATTCAGGTCATGTAACTTTAAACAATTTTTTCAGGGGCAATTTTACATATTATAAACCATATCCAACCTTTAGAATAAGGAAGAATTAGTCATTAATTATATTTGAAAGATTTCATGTTATCAAAATTTCATCATGTTCATAATTCCTGCCAGTCAGAAGCATGGTGCTATTAAAAGGACCAAAGCCACTGTCTGAAGCTTGATTAAATTCATTTCTTAAACAAGAATTATAAGTATATAAACTAATCATTTAAGGGATAGTTGATTGTGCAGTTAATGATTAAAGAAACTATCCTATATAGGTTTAAGGTAAGTACAGGTTATTTTGATGTTGGTGCTGTATATCAATCACCTGGATGTTCTGAATAAATCTGAGTAAAATGCATTTTAAAGTCTCACTTTTCATACATGCAACATGGAAGTTCCCCTTCCATCCCAATTTTTCAACAAACTGAAAATAATTTTAATCATTTTCACAGTGAAATTCTATTTCCTCACAATTTATAGTCATTTTATTGTGAGAAATATTTCATTTATTTCTAATTGAATTTTTCTGCATTTGTAACCATCTTGTAATGCTTACCATGACTCAAATTAACATTTTAAAGATTTTGATACATTATTAAGGCATTTTATTTGCAGAATATTGATAAAATGGCATGCTTTTGTAATTATTTTGAGTAAGCTAAAACAAATATGTGAGTAAGTGAAATTACATTCAAATGTGTGTACTTAAAAAGTTTCATATTTCTAGAATCAAGTTTTTACAAATTACATTGATAATTTTTTTAAAATTTTTTTCATGAATATTTACAGAGTATATTTTTTCATTATTAATTTCTGCAGCTTGAAAGAGTTCAAGAAGAAAAAAGATTTTCCAAGAAAGCCATATTTTTTTTTTTATCTGCAAATAGTGATATTGTCATAATGCTACTGCATTAAAAATAATCAAGCACCATTCCCTACCATTTTTTTAACCCAACATAAGCTACTTGTAACTACAAAATATTGTTAATAGTAAATATTTTTCATTTTCAAAAGCATTCCCTTTTTTTCCCCCTTTCTTGTTTTTGCTACAATGAATTTATGATATTTATCACAGCAAATGAAACAGCCAATTTAACAGTTCTATAATGACAAATAGAACTGTTTCAACTACCTCTTGATTTAAAGTATCATTAATTGAAAAAATAATGCACATATGATATAATAAGCGAAGATAATCCAGATAAATTTAAATATAAATTTTGTTTTCATTAACATCAGAATTACTGTGAAAATTTATTATTAACAAATCACTGTTAATTCCCCTTTAGCTCTTTTAATAAATGAATTAGGAACTTTAATATATGTTTAGCAATAACAAAGTCTGAGTTTATAATTGATTAAAGAAATATCAGGTTCATGTACAAGTTCTTGAATTTTATTCCCTGGATACTATGAAGTAAGTACTATTTGGCTGGTTAAACTTTATTAAAGTTTATATAAGTTTGTAGATCGTTCAAAGTTTTAGGTTCTCTCTCTCTCTCTTTTTTTTTTAAGCATACGTATGAGAACTACTGAATTACAAATGAAAAATTGCTTCTCAGTGTTTTAGTTCTCTAGTTTACAGTTGAATATTTAAGTGTATTTTATGAGACAGGCTTTCTGCTGCATTTTTACAGAATATTTTATGCAAGTAGGAATTGCAGCTTTTTTAGTTTAGATGTTAATTTATCCCCTTTAAAATATTAGAAATTAATATATTACATTCTGAGGTAAGTTAAAAAATTTTGATAGTTCAATTACAGTAACTTCTGTCTCATAATGAGTATGTAAAATTTATTACCAGTTGTGTTTCAAAGCTAACTAGGAATGTCTGAGTAAAAATAAAGGTAAGAATGATTTCTGAAAACATGTGCAGCATTTTATTAGATGAATATTTATGGAAGATTTTTATATTTCCAAGTTTTTAGAGGTAAAAAACAACACAATTTAAATGTAATAAAATACTGTGTTCAGCTCAAGTTAAGTAACTTTACGATTATGGTGAAAGATTTCATAACTGCAGTTCAACACTAACAATTATTTATGTACTTGATGCAGATTTTACTGCTAGTGCAATACTTCCAGTCTGGAGAAGTGAGAAAAGTGTCTCCAAGAAGGCTGTAGATAAGACTACAGAACTTTTCAAATATAAATATTGATGATATAAAAATGAACAATCATTCCTACCCTAAACCCTGCCTTGGGAGCAGAAATAATTGCTAACAAGTATGCTATTTTTACTTCTGTGATTAATTTCCAAAATTTATAATTTATGGTTTAGATTTATCACACCTGGAACTTCAAGCAGAGGAGGCGGACGCAGGGACATGAATGCAAGGCACAATCGGTCATTTACACGATAGTGCCAAAGACTTTTATTTTAAAATGTGAACGGGTTGCTGACATAAAGAACTGTGAAGATGAAGAATGTCTTTGAAAAATGAGTACATATCAGTAGTAAATAAAACTGCTTTTCGTGTTTGCATATCTTTTCTTTTTTGTAACAATATTTACACACTCATTTATCAGCATATGCTTGTATGTTAAAAGTGTTTTATTCAGTGCTTGAAATGTTTACCGAGGTTGCTAGAGCAAACATCTGTGATTTTATATAAAGTGACTAGGAACTGATGTTTTAATTAACCTTTTATTAGGAGCTGAGATAGTCCAGAACATTGTCTCATATGTTACCTGCATTAAATAAAACTTAGGAAATTTTAATCTACTGTGGAGATTTACAGTTTACTGCTTAATGATGAGTGGCAAAAGCTGATGCCTTGTTTTTCTTTTTCTTCCTGCCTAAGTGCCTTAAATAAAAAGTTAATCTCTATAGCCCAATGGTTAATACTGAAACTGTGGGTACATTTTACTCAAAATTAACTTTTTTTTACACTTAAAACCAGTTATGCTTGTCATACAATCATCTAAAATTTATGAAAAGGACAGATTAATTTCAAGAAATGCAAGATAAATTTAATTATTACAAGACTGGTCATTGAATTAGAATGTATTTATTTACTAAATGCATGTACTTTTTATCATAAACAAATAATATATAAGTAGAAAACTTCCTATATATCAGTGTGTTCTTTTTTAACTATTAAATTAAAAAATTAAAACCCCCACATCTTGACTGAGTTTTTTCCTCTTACACTTTTAAATTTATGCTATCTGAGCTTTGTTCAGGAGTGGTGGTGGCAGTAGTACTTTGTTGTGGTGGTACTAGAGGTTTTCAGTTTTTGTTTAGATGGTATGCATTAGTCAAAAGGTTGAGAACCGCTGCTATATACCATCTCCAAGGAAGAGAAATTCAATAAAAACCATGCATTATTAAAAGGGAAACAAAATTTTTAGTCAGTATTTTATATTAGAATTTTCTAGAACTCTATGCTTTAAAAAAATGTTAAGAAAAATCCTTAATTGCAAAAATACCAAAATTAAAAGTAAAACAATTTTAAGTATTGAAAAAGTAGCTATTATTATGGATCGCAGATTAATTGACTTGTCAAGGGGAACAAACCAATCTACTATCAATTAACAACAACTAAATAATGTGGGAGTGTTTCATCTTTCTTCCAAGTAAGGATCAATTGTATTTTTGCTAGAGCCAAATCATACGTCACGAACAATACTCAATCAATAGAAAGACATTAGCCCATTTAAGCCAAAAGAACTTTCATAAACAAAATACATTAGTAAATAATCTTTTAAGTTGCTATACAATTAGTTCAGCACAAGGTTTTAAGTTTGGTTATGTTTAAAATTTTGTGACTGAAGATTAATTACTCTACAGGAAAGGACAAACTTTGAAAGTAGGAGACTGCAATTTCAATTGCATGCTAGACAACACTAAAACACTATGCTCAGGGGCTATACAAGAAGCTGTGTTTTATTTTGCAATTTTACCTGTTTTGAAAATAACTTCATGTAATACCAAATACCAGTATTTTATTGTAGCATGAAATAATCTCTGGTAACTATATGAATTAATAAACCTTTTGGTTTGAAAAAACAAAAATTCATAAAAAGGGCATTAAGTATATTGCCAGAAAAATAAACCTTATTGCAAAATTGAATAAGGCACCTAATAGGTGGGCCATCATTGCCTCCTATGAAGGTACAGACAATTTACATACATGCCTTCTCCAGGATTCAAACTTGAGCCCTTTGGTACGGCAGTGAAAGTTACTAACCACTTTCCAATCTGGGAGGCTGACAAATGAAATCAAAATGGAAAGAGAATTTTCTTTAGAAATTGGTGTTGAATATATAGAACTTTTGAATCTCTATGATTAGGACCTCATGCTCAATATTTTTGGCAAAACAAGAAGCTGTCTCTATCTTATGCTTAAAACTGTAATGATTTTAAAATTAAAGACTGGAATCTTAATGAAAAGATCCATGAAGTCAGCAGTTAGGAAAAAGCAATAAGAATAATTAGAAAGGGTTAAAAATATTTATGTCAAAAAAGTTCTTTGTCACTTCAAAGTTCACTGCATTATTTCTTCTAATTTTCAAATACTCTTCAACACAAGATCCATCAGTTGTGTATATTAGTAATCTTAGTATCACGCACCGTTTTCATAAATTTAAATTTTCATATTAAAATAATCTGAATTTTTTAGCAAAAATTAAAAAAAAAGATTTATTTAAAAATTAACATGGAACTTTTGTTTATTTCCCTCTATGTCATTTTATACATGGAATTCTTTGATGTGCATTGAGAGGGCGGCAAATGTTCATTTCAACCCTCTTTAATTTTGTATTAATGAAAAAAAATCATCTTGACTTCTACCAGTGATCTCAGAATTAATTACTAGGTAATACTGGAATAATAATTTAAAGAAAAATGTAAGCATAATTCAAGATTTTTGTGGCTACAGATTATCTTACACAATGAAAGAAGCTAAATAATAGTTTTCATTCTCTAATGCATTTAAAGTTACATTTATTATGTTGCATTTACACTATATATATATATATATATATAATAATTGCAAACCTTTTATATTTATAGTTCTTTTACTTTCAGCGTAAAATGCCCAGTTTTAAGCCTATATTAGCACTCAACATGCTTTTCTTTGTAAAATCAATAATTTTTTAGCTTTTAAAATGGTATTTATTATACTAAAAATCCTGATTTTAGTATTTAAATTTGATTTTTAAAAAAGGTACACCTCTATTCCTTTCAAACAAATACTAGTCTCATTATTAAGCCCTCTCCTAAAAGATTTGAATATTTTAGATACCCCCCCCCCAAAAAAAATGTCCACTGTATTTTCATATATAAATTGATCCGTGTATAAGCCAGAAGTTTGTTTTCTTCTAAAAAATTTACTCAAAATTCAAAAGCTGTATGTAAGTGCAAATGGGGAATAAATGCCTGTAACCTTCAAACATGTCACCATGAAGGTAAAAATGTTGCCAAGCAGGTAAAATGAGTAGAGCGCTTGGCTTATTTGATTGTTATTTTCCAATCAAATAGCTGTAAATTAAAATGCCAGATGCCAACGATAGTAGATTTAAGTCTGATAACCTTATCTGAAGCTAGCACATTTTCCCATTAATTTGTTATTTTATACACTGCCCTTCAAAAGTTAAGGAACAGCATGTTTGTGTCTTAATTTGAGAATTGAAGCAACACAGAAACAAAAAATTGACAGGACATGTTCACTAAACAGTTCTTTAACGAATGTGACATAGAATGTTTCTAAAGTTCAACATAAACATAAATTACAATAAAAAATTGCACTGTTGGCAGAGAAATCCATTCTTGGAGAAACAGTATATCACAGTTTTCTGAGGAAAAATCGGGTGGTAACATTACGAAAATGGGTATTAAATAAGGAATATATCCACTCTAGCTGCACTACATTGGCAGCAATGATGTTCCATGTTGTCAATTAAGTTGTTAGTCAGTGAAATGGGAAGCAACGACCAGACAAGGAGAAATCCAGGTTCGTCTAATAACTTTAAAGGAGCACTGAAAGCAGCAACCTGTCTCTCAAATTAGTCCCAAAGAGGCTTTATTGGATTCAGGTCTGGAGATTGAGTTGGCCATTCCATCTGTTCCATATCATGACCTAAAATATTTTTCAGCAACCGGAACTCAGTTGAAAATTGTCGGCCATCAAAAGAAATCCAGGACCAATAGCAGTGGCAACACCTTCTTAAACACAAGCCTCCCTACTGAACGCTCATAGTTTAGTGACGTCGCAAACCGTTGGCCTTCTCGATGAGGTGCGAAAAATCGCCCCTAAACCAAGGCCATCTAGATGGCATTAGCAAGTTAGGGGAATTTCGTCCTTGGTCGTGAGAAAGCCCGTGAACCAAGTCTCCTTAATTTTGATATTGATATTTTTTTTTTCGATTTCAATCCTGCCTTTAAAGTGCTGTGTGCCGTTATGCTGAGAAAATTATTGTGACGGTTCTAAAGTATCAGTATATAGATTTCCTGAGCAACAAGATGTATTACATAGATGGTTAAAATCGATACCGCTAGAAAATTTTACCATTTCGAAGTATTTTCGGGTAAGTTAAGCCTAACTTGAAGTTTAAATTTATTAAGGTATTTGCTTCTACATTTAAAAGAATGGATACATTAATATTAAAGAATTTAATTTTTATAGAATACATTGTGTAATTATGTATTGATTAGTATAATTATGTATTGAATTATATGGTTAATAATTATGTATCGAATTGTATGGTTAATAATTATGTATCGAATTGTATGCTAAATATTCACTTACTTTTTAAAATGTCCAGATTTTTATTTTTTGATTAATTTTATAACTTAGAACTTTTAACTTCATACGTATATGGCAGCAAATGAAATTATTTAGCTTCAATATTAATATATTTTGAATAATAATAAAGAAACTGTGAAGGCAATAAATATGCTTATAGTTTTTTTTAAATTGTAATATAAAGCGCACAGTTTTGAGTAAAACAAGAAATATTTAAATTCCTAATGCATGAAAAAATTCAATATTATTAAAAACTTATGTCACTAAGAATCCTTTTCTTCCCCCCCCCTCCCGAGTGGGGAGACAAACACACATATGCTTGCTATTACCTGTTTTGCTAAAATATAAATTGCATTACGAGAAATCCTACTTTATTACTTTAAATAGTAATTAGGTAATTATAGTAATCTGAGTGAGCTTTCATCATGTCCTAAAAATGTTAAGATACCTGATGATTTAACAGTTGTGATTAAAGAAATAGTATATTTTTTCTCCAGATAAGCACAGAATTTGCTCCTTTTATTTCTGCATCAGTCGTTATCCATGATGATCTGCAAGTGGAAGCATATTTTAGAGATATTCCATTAACAAAAATTAGTAACCATGAATTCCCTTTAAAAATTAATGATGTGAATAATCTCTGTTCGTTGCAAAAATTAAAGGTGGTAATAATGAAAACATACTTTAAAAACTTATTATTTGTAACTCAAGATCTTTGTGAATTAGAAAAAAAATGCCCCTGAACATAAAAAGAAAATAGTTCAGCTGCCATATACGTATGAAGTTAAAAGTTCTAAGTTATAAAATAAATCAAAAAATAAAAAACTGGACATTTTAAAAAGTGAATATTTGAGCAGCTGACATTACTCGTTTTGCATAAAAATAATAATAGGTATAGTTCTGATCTGTTAATATTATCAAGTTTGATGTTTTTAATTTCTCCACATTGCTATAAATTTCTAAAAAATAGTGCATATGTTTCTCTGCCACATCCTTCTACATTGAAAAGATTGTGTTCTGAATATAATGTTGATCTAAAGTGGAGCAAACTCGTGAAAATTTCCTGAATTATGCTAAGGAAAAAAGTCCGCTTTTTAGACGAAAACGATAATATGTCACTTTAATGCTTGACGAAATTCACATTAAGCCATTCTAGATTTCAAAGGTGAAAATATAATAGGAATGTAGGAAAATATATTGTGAAAACGCTGCTAATTCTGCTTGTGTTTTTATGCTACAGAGTATTAGATCTTCATATAAGAATGTTATAAGTATTGTCCCAGTAAAATCATTATCAGCACAATTTTTACATGGATATATAGTGTGATAAATAATAAAAGTTTTAGAAAATTTAGGTTTTTCCGTATTATGTGTGCTTATAAATCTACCCTGATTAAAATTTAAAAACTTCTAATATCCTTAAAACTATTTGCACAATCCTTTCTTATACTATATTTTTTATGCAATTAAGTGACTTGAATATTATTAGTATGGAGAGAGAGATTCCAACATTACCTTACAAGTCCTTATCAAAGTCAACCAGTACTTTAAAGCATTATTTTAACTGTAAACATACAATATAAGATCATACAAAAATTAATAATATATAATATTTTTGCGCAAAGGAAAATGTTTCCAATTATATATCCGCAAATGAACTGAAAATATATATTTTCACTATATATAAAGTAAAAAATAAAAAATACAGTCAAAAGTCGTTAATCCGGACTCGTCGGGGACTTCGGCGATTCCGGATTATAGATCATCAGTTTAAATCTCGTAAGATGGCAGCAGAAAAGAAATTCTAAATTAAAATATGAAACCGTAATTTATGAAATAAAGAACAATTATGATCTAAAGGGTATCAAAATTTGCAAAAAGAAAAAGCTTAATATTTTATTTTTTATTTATTAACATTTCTTTCAATGTAATTGTTTAAGTTTTTGCTTTGTTTCATGTGATAATACTTTCTCTTTAATTCTATTAAACAGACATAATTTCTTGTTCAGTTGCAAAGTTCCACTGTTCAAGTCCGATAATTGCTGTGTCGAGAACACCGACTAATTTGTCAATCAAAATTTTTTCGTTTTCAATAACCTCTGTCACTTTCTTCGCTATCGGAAGCAAATTATAATGACGAGGAACTTGTTTTAAATCATATCAAAGACGAAGCATATCGAGATGAAATACTACATTTGGTAAGGAATTATAAGCCAAATAAAATAAAAACATCTGCACTGAAGATAAGGATAGTGCTGACAGATCAACTTCCAATTCATTACGCACTTGCCGTGAGGTTCCCCCCGCCGAGCAGCGTGAAATTGATAACCAGATTTCGGATTTCAAAACATAGTTTCGCTTTAGATACTTTACATATTAACAAATATATATCGGAAATTCTATTTGATATAATCGAAAGTTTAAGCTTACTTTTATAAAATTGCTCTTACAGTCTGCAAAAAATAATAAGCCGGATCCAATTTGAAAATTAAGGAACAACCCAATCATCAACATTAACTGAAATAGATAATTTTAGCTTATACGTCCATTATACATAAAACGCGCGCGCGAAAACGTATTCTGCACTTGCGCACACTCATATGCGCAGTGGTAAAAGGTCTTACGCGCACACGTAAACGCCTATGCGCATGTGTCAACACGGTGCATGCGCAGAAAGTTTTTAGTTTTGAGGTCCGGATTATAGATCATTCCGAATTATGGGTGTCCGAATTAACGACTTTTGACTGTAATATGTATCTAGATCATTAGAAAATACCCTCCTGTTAGTAAAGCTTTAAAAACATAGTATATAGTTTAAAGGCAGGTAGTAGGTGACCAACGGCGATTGTCAGCCGCCAGTTTGTGATGTCACGATCTCGTAGTTGGGCTTCTGTTTAAGAAGGTGTTGGCAGTGGCATATGGACAAACATACTGATTAAGGATCTCATCTCGATACCTTACATTGGTCAAAATTCCTCCATGGAACACATGCAGGTCAGTGTGACCACCTAGAGAGATCCTAACCCAAACCATTATTCTGCCACCTCTGTAACTGTGTCTTTCCACAAGGTGGGATTGGTGTATTGTTCCCTCCAGATCAGCTGACGACCTGAATCACTCTCCAGTGTGAATCTGGACTCGTCTATGAAGAGAACATACACCTATTGTAGACTGGTCTAGGAGACGTGTTCTCTTGCCCAACATAAACGAGCACCTCTGTCTTCGTGTCCAGGGGACACAAACAACTGGCCGTCTTGCATACAGACCTGTATTGTGTAGGTATTCTGTGCACTGTAATAGCTGAGATTCTTGTTCCTATCTGCCATGAGCTGAGGCACAGTGATGTTACTCCTCCTTTGGGTCGAAAGAGCTAAATAGTCTAGGTCTCCCGCAAGTGTTGTAGCTCTAGGTCTGCCTGAAACATGTCTACTAGACACAGAATCTTCGCATTCAAACTGATTCCATAGTCAGTGGACCACAAAATGGAGACATTGAGATGTCTAGCAGCATTAGCTTGCGACATCCCCATTTCTATATATTCGATCACCCCCCACCTCAACGAATCGGGCAAATGACTTTTCCTGGACATTGATAGACTCTCCTGGATATTGTCCATGAAACTGTAATAACAATTGAAAAACTCGTGAACAAAAGTTAAAAATTTTGCATTTTTTTTCTCAAACTCCTATATAAGTAGTCATTTCAATAAAATAAAAGTGGTAGCTATTGTTTTTGCTTATATTTTCTTAAACTTCATTACTGTCATGCATATGAACTGTGAATTTAAATATTACTGGCATTTTTGTAATGGTGAGCTTTCAAAAATATGCTGTTCCTTAACTTTTGGAGGGCGGTGTACATCAGTGTTTCTTAAAGCAATTTACTCGTACAACCAGTAAAATAGTTCAGTGTTTTATCATGGACCAGTAAGGTTAGTAATTTGGACTATTAGCATAATCTTTACATATACAAAACTGTGGAACTTAAACAATTGCAGATTCAAAAGCGGCCAAGCAGTAAAAGTCGCTGAACACTTGTAATTCAGTTTCAGATCCCGCAAACGGACTGGCTGCATGGGTGTTTTCATGGTTTTTCCCATGTGTAACATGTATATGAGCCAGTGTCTCTTAAAACTTTCTCCATGAAAGCATCCCTTCCCTTAGGCAGATAGCCCCTGAGGCTTTGCCGTAATCACCTAAACGACTGGAAGGGCTAGCGAATAGTATTTATGGACTGGCATGTTGTATTTGATCTCTGGTTTCTGTGTTAAGTCTTATTTTCTCGGCCATTTTATTTTTTGTGTAAAGATGAACACAAAGAGAAATTGTTATACAGTAAATTTCCAACTACAAGTGATCACATTTGATGAAAATTCTGACAACAATATGGCTGCTCAGCATTTGTCAGTAAATGAAAAATAAGAGTGAAAGTGGCATGCAGATTTCAACAACAACAGATTTTTCATCTTGGCGATGGCATATTAAATTATCATTCTAAACAATTTTGAAAATTAAAAAAAATTGTTTTCATTAACTTAATATATCATTTCAAATTAAATTTTTTCATAAATTAAAAAAATATAAACTAAAGAAATAAAGCACATTTGGCGATTTATTGCTTGTGCCTGACTAACAGAAAAGTATTTAAATTTTTTGCGAAATCTGTATACAAGCTAACCCTCATAATTTAGCTTTAGAAAAAGTTCCAAAAATTCTCGGCTTATGCACTGATATATGGTGAAAAAATGTGATTTTTCTTCACTGAATATTCTCTTTTCTCCCATGCTAAAACATACTAGTACATTTTATTTATATAATGGTCATATAAACTCATTTGCAATTATTATGTCTGAAATACTGAATATATATCAAAATAATTTTTAAACCAAATATATTTTGTAACATATCATTCTCAATGAGACACTTAATAGATAAATTGTATGCATTTTTTTAAACAGAAGATAATTCAGAGTAACTGCATATCGCATTAAATAAATGATTCTTATTTCCAATTGTAAACTAATTAGAATTGTAATGCGATTTTAGTTTACACAAATATAAAAAATTTTCAGACCTAGTTGAGATGTTTAATTCAGTATAGTTCTTTTATAATTGTCTCTTGTGCGTAAAATAAGGTTTCTGAGAAAAGTTGGGGGGGGGAAGAAAATAGAATAACAAATTTACTAATTATTTGTAAATTGCAATTCTTTTGTAAATAAATAAAAATTCTTTGCTGTGTAAAAGGAAATAAAAAAAACTGAGATTGACATCATAGCTCTGAAGCCAAATAATTTAAAAAGCAATGCTGCTTTTGTTTGAATCTTAGTTTTACTGCATTGATACTTCATTCTAGTAGTAGAGGTTAGACATGTTTCTGTAAACCAGTGTGAATATAAATAAACCAAGCTCTAAAATTTTGCATGCATTTAAATGAAACTGCCCCAGCAATGAACAAAATCATTAAAGCAACCCAGGTATATGTGCTTTATCCAGTGCAAGAGCTTAAAGTGGTAAAAGAGATTAGTGAAAATGGGAAGTGTTTAGAACATATGCTCCATGCTTTGAAGAAACTGTGGAGGTTAATTTTCATCAAGACTCGATGGCACTAATATTGAGAGTGGTTTGTCTTATGTTAATGTATATGTTAAACAAACAGCTTTTTTTTTTTCATTGAATGTTATGAAAATAAAGTATGGTGAGTAATTGAAATATTTATTTCATAAAAATATTTGCCATTTAGATCACATAATGTTTACAATGTAATGATAACAATGAAACTATATACATATATGTGTGCTTCATATGAAAAGCTCAATAGAAATATTAATAAAGGAAGATAAATACAATATAAATGTAATACAGGCACATAAAAGTTAACACTGTAGCAATTCTCATACAACAGAAAGTATATTACACAATGTAAAGTTACAAACATTCATATTTACATTTGACAGAAACAATAGCATAACATGAACACTTTTATACAAATTAAATAAAGCTATAGAAACAATTTTTTATACATATAGTTTAAAATATAGACCGTATGTTTGGTTTACATTCAAACATATAAATGTTAGACTATTTTGAAATTATATTATTGATATTGCATCATGAACCTTAAATCATTAACCACAAATAATGATTTTTCTTAATAGTTAGTGACATGTGAGGATAGGAAATACAAAAGTTATACCTACTGACAACATTCATTAAAAGTTATGAAGAGAAGCTTATCAGAAAAAGCACAAACGTTGCTTGAATTTTCGCAAAAGCATATTTAATCACATGTTCTCTTCTTTCATCATTCACTTTAATTAAAAAATTAGAATAACGCTTTTAATAACCATTCTTATTTGCTGGAACGTCTAGGTTTAATTTAATGCACTTTTATGCATATATGCATGTCTGCAAAAACCCAGCCTTTGTTTTTGCAACCATTGGTCATAGATATATACTTCCAATTACAGAAATATTTTAAATGACACAAAGATTTTTTTTTTTTTTTTTAACACAAAATGCAAAACCTGACATTTTGTACATTTCCTCAGTATTTATACTTAAGAAAAGGTTATAAAAATTAAAATAAAAAGTCTGACTCCACAACAAAAATTTACTAAAATATTTTGTGATTACTGACACCACTTAATTTTCATTGAGGGGCCAATTAATAAATAAATCAGGTTAATTTGAGATTGATTTTCCCCCAATGACATTAATTTGTAATTTATAATTTTGTTACATTTGGAATGCTGAAAGAATTTTGACACTACTTATAAGTTTTTGAAGTCTAAGAATAAATTATTAATGTTCTTATGGAACTCTATTGCTTTATAATAATGATAATAATTGTATAAAAAAATTCATAAAACTATAAAGATTTTTCATTAATTCAAATAATATTACAAGTTGACTTCATGCCAATACTGAAGCTTTTCATTGAAGTTTATTGCTTTATAATAATAATAATAATATAAAAAAATTCATTGACCTGCAGATTTTTAATTTTTAATTAATTAAAATAATTAATACGCATAAACAGAATTCTTTATATTTGCACAAGTTTCTGCTTCTTTTTGTTTTTATTTTAATGAATATTTTGTGGTAGTAATCATTTCTTACGTTCTAAGCACATAAGTTATATCTGTATTTTATTTTAAACATTTTTCAAGTTCTCTTTTATGGAAGAAAACATTACTATTGCTTGTAGTATGTTTTCATATTATTTCACTTGTAACAATAAAAATGTCCACTAAGCATCATTTAAAATCAGAATGAGATAGAGGTTTACAAAACAAATTTTAAAAGATTATATATAATTATTAATTTAAGAAAATTTGAAAATTATGTACCAATTTATAAAGTAAAGGATTTCACACATATTTATATATATATGGAAGAAAAGTACTGCATTTTCTAGTTACGAAGAAAAGAAAAATTTATTTACTGAAGTCAAATAATAGTGTGCACTTTACATAATGCAATTATAAATTTGTTTCCAACATTAGCTGTCTTTTAAAATACAATTTCTGAAAATTGAGCTAAACATACTTGAGGAAAATTTTACTCAAAAATCAATGAAACATCTAAATTTTTGTGAAGAATATATCCATTTTTTAACTACAGGACTTACTATAATTATTACCATCAGCAGCAACTGAGTTTGGTTTCCTGAGATTCTAAAAGATGAACATCTTGTTCAAACAAAGATTGATTGTTCCGTACTCGACTATTTCGCGAGATCAACTTTTGTGCCACAGTTTTGAACATATCATCTAGTCCTTCACCTAAAAATAAATGTTTACAATTATGATATTACATTTCAGTATACATAAAAGTTGCAAAATATATATCATATTTCCAAAGATTATGGAGCAGAACTTGAAAGACAAATCTCAATTACAATACAAATTCAGTTTTGTATATATTTACCTGTCTTGGCTGACACATTAAAAACTATATCACAGTCATGATGCTGGGCAAAAGCTTTAACTTTCTCTTGAGAAGTACGACAAGTCAAATCACTTTTGTTTGCTACTAATACTTTAAGTGCTGCAATGAAAGTTAATATGAGTTACAATAATGGTTGTGATCAATAAAAATATTAAAAATGCTTATTTTTTATATAGAGAGAAATCCTGATACCTCGTTTACTTATTTCAGTAGTTTTCATGAGTGCTAAATTCTTCCGACAACAAATAATAAGAAAGGTTACTTCACTATTAAAGATATATCATGCATTTTCAGTGCCATTTTGATGCATTTAAGCTTCTTTCCTAAGCTATTGGCTCAATGCTAGACAAAATAAGAATGATTGGGAACAGCAATAAGGAATATTCTTTAATTTCATAACACACGTAGAACACATCCTACGGTATTTATTTATTTATTAACTTTAGTGAATAAGCTTTCTCAATTTCCAGAGTTTTATTGCATTTGTCGATTTTTAAGATAAGACTGAAATAACAAGAAACCTGGCTCATACCTCTCTTATGTTGTTGTTGCCTTTACTCTCTGACGTAGTCAGTTCAAGCCCACGAAAACTCTCATGGCAAGGAGCGCTAGATTATACCTGCCACTAGCAACAGCCTTGAGCACTATTCAGGTGCAATCAACTAATAAGCTATGATTCATTTGAGACAAGTTTTGTTCAGAAAACTCACGTAAAGTGAACTACTGACACCATTACATAAATGAACTGTTTGACAGTAATGAAAGGAATAGAAAATCCAACAAACCACATTTGTATTCGGACATATTTTCCCCCTCTGTATGAGCAAAGGCTGCACAGCTATTTAGGCTTTAAATCATATTTTAATTTTATGAGGCGATTATCAAAAAATAATCTTTCTTTCTTGAAAAAACAAGATAGTCACTTTTGGACAAATAAATCCCAAGTTGTAGAATCCATTGCAGCAGGGGGGGATGCTGATTAGATGAAAAATGTGATTGTGCAAGCAATTCTTATAAAGATTCATCAGGAAAGAAGCTAAACCAAGCTTGCAAAACCTGGCTCAGAAGAAATATGCCCCCCTTCCAAAAAAAGCACAGTAAGTGGCATAAAAGTAAGATATTCATTGTTATGACATGAATAAAACTGGACAATTTTACAGACGGTACACTGAACTGCCTTTAAAATGAGTGTACTGTTTCTTTACCAGCAAAGGATAAAGCATGCTTATTTAAAATTAAAGGAAAATAAAGGCTGAATTTTTATCAAGTCCGAACTATAGAAACTCCCCCCATGGGGAAAAAAAAGCACAAATATCTTTAATGTTAAAAGTAAATAAATGCATACTAAAATAGATCTTTAATTACTGAAGTTTTCTATTACTTTAACTGTGACTTTTTTAAAATTAAACAAACTGGAATTGTAAAAGTTAGGCAAATTTGTAGCCTAAGATGCTTAGTACCATCATAGAAATAAAGCAAGTGGATTAATAAGTGACAGTTCAACTAAGATAAATAAATAAAAATTAGTTTTCTAACAGTGACATGCTGCCAATGGATTAGTCTAGTCCCCTAACATTTTATGGATTTAACACTTTCAAGCTTAATTTTACCTAATATTCAAAACAGTTACAAGAAACAATTTTTTGAAACTATGTGGCATTTCAGTTTAGGTGACTTTTGTGAAAATGGGAGGAGCTTGGGTTTTGCCAGTTCTGTGTAAGGAAATACTAGTTGGCTTTCAGCTCTACCCCTAACAAGTCATAAAACTATTTATTTTTCTCATGATTCTTAAAAGCAAATCTAATTAAACTTTTTGAGCAATACTTTAGTTCATCTTTATGAAAGTATTGTTATGGTATATGAAATAAGGTGAAATAAAATATATGGATTCAGTAATTCCAAGCTTAAACTTTGGAGAGGAATATGGTGTGAAAAATTATAATAAGTATCTTTTTTTTAATTTGATGGATGTCATAAAAAATACATAATTAGTTGAAAACCCTTTATCTCAAAAAGAGAACAATGCCAGCAAAACAGATTCTTTTTATTTTGCATATGATTAATCATTTTGCACAAGAAATCATTACGGAGCATGCACAAGCCATCTCTGATGCAGTTTTATAACAACATGCTCATTAGCTGTCAGTGTCGCAACTCTATGTTCTTGACCACTTGCCTATCAAGGATAATATATTTTCAAACGATGCACTCCATATATTCTCATTTGTACAGCAAGAAACATTATATCTGTTATATTAAATTGGAATATTATATAATTTCAAAATGATTAATCCTATACAAAATAAAAAGAATCTGTTTTGCTGGCATTGTTCTCTTTTTGAGATAAAGGGTTTTCAACTAATTATTTATTTTTTATGACATCTATCAAATTAAAAAATATATACTTATTATAATAAGGCCATTTTAACTTCCCTATTTATCCAATTTACATAAATTCATCACAGCATTTTAAACATTACTATATTCATTAGTTTTCAAACTATATCACTACTCTTCATATTAAAAACATAATAAACACTGTTGTGATGATCACCTCCTTAAGATAACCATTTCTGAACCAATATTTATGCGAACATAAATAAACATTAGTAATGAACTTCTGCATGATGGGGCATCAGTGGTGATGGCGATACAATCACCACTGATGCCCATGAATGGTTGTCTAAGATATAAGTTTTATAATTTTTCTTTATATCTAGCCCCCTATCGTAAAAAACACAGAATGCCACTGTTTTGTATCTTCCAGTCTTGTTACATAATTACAATAAAATTTTTTTCATGTTCTGTAAGAATAGAGCAGAATTTACAGTTTTCTTAAATGTATGATTTGGTCTTATTGATAATGAAATAAATACATAATATATGACACTTCTTGAGAAAATGCAATATACTAAATGTACATATCTTCGTTTTTCTTCCTCTTATTTCTCCCCCCCCTTTTTTAACATGTTTAGTAGAAATTACAGATTTATATTCTTTGTAGGAAGAATACTTTTTGCATAGTATTTAGGTTTTTTAGATTACATTAACTGACTTATTTACAAAATTTAATTTTGAAATTTTTTAAATTTTTACTTTAACATGCAAGCAATTTTTTTAATGAAATATACTCAAATTTTGAATTTAAATGATATATTTGTGTATATGCTAGGGTTCTAAAATAACACAATAAAAACTTGTAACAGCATTATAATATTACATACACTGTACAGAATATTTGATTACAGCAAAACACATATAGGCCACCTAGCTTTACAGAAGGATGTCTTTGTAAAAGTCTTCTTCTTCTTTTTTTTTTTTTTTTTTTTTTATAAACTGTATCATTCTTGCATTACATATAAGGTAGACCTCATGCTGCCAGATCGTTGAACTGACAGGAATAAAACCTAGGCCAAACTAATAGTGTTTCACATATTTACCTACTCACCCCCCAAAAACACAATACAATGAATATATTCACAGAGTAAACTAATGCAATGAAAGCAGCATGTAAAAATAATACGCTAAAAATGTACTTAGTTAAAACTTATTATTTAGTTTATCATATGAATCCTAGAAAAGAAGTGTTAAGAATGTTCAGTGACAAAGATAATGTCACAAGACAGCAAGCATCTGGCAAATATATTGAAAGACTGGAGGGAGAACTTGTGAGAAGCATCAGATAAGATCTTAGCATCTGAAAAGGCTAATTTTATTCCTTTTAAGGTTTTAATATACTATAATGAATATAACCTGAAATTTAACTGAAGACTTCCAAATTACAGTATACTTGACAAATCTTCTAGAAGGCTTCATTAAAATTCCTAGCTACTTCATCCTTTGAGAAGACACCTTTTCCATATAGAATCTGGCTCTACAGTGGACTTTGTTCTCTGCAGGGCCAATTGATACTTCTTCTTGAATAACAAAAAGTTGCTGTTATCATCACTGCACATTAAATTAAGCTTATGAGAGTAATTTGTTAAAGCTGTAGAAAGTCAACTACTTTTAAAAATTAATTCTAAACATTCTTCCTCATTTATAAGGTAATGTAAAGATCAAAGGAGATCATGAAATGTAAAGAACTCAAAAAAAAAAAAAAAAAAAAAAAACTCATTGTAAATAAAACTAATGGCATCTTACTACTAAAAAGTTTTACCTTTCTTCCACAATACCAAAGATCACATAAAACTTGCTTAAGAAAATTTATCAAAAACTAATGCAGATTCTATCCCAAAATATACATTTTTCACAATACCTTGATTAACTTCAGAGAAAATATATTCCATGTAAAGCAAGATAAGAATTTTCATTAGAACATGACTGGCCTTTGAACATCGTTATTAAGGATAATGTATGGCAAACATAATAAGGTCCATATTTGGGGGTAAGTACGAGAAAATGATCTCAGGTAAGTATGAGATGGTAAAAGTACAAGCATTAAATTCAAATAATTTCTAAGAAGACTTCATACAATGTTAGAGAAAAATTATAATAAAAAAGTTTCAAGGTTTTCGTTATAATAAAAAAGTTTCAAGGTTTTGGTATTTGCTATTTTGATTTAGATTTGGAGATATGATTTATTTTTATCTTTATAAACATATAAATGCACCTGTCAAAATATTATATGCATTGATAAATATATTTAAGTAAACACTATATATGTATCTGTATATTGAATCTACAAAAATATATTTATTAAAAATAAAAATATTCTAGGACATATATATGGCCTGGCTGGCTAGGGGGTGGAGAACTCAATAAGGTATTGACTACATAAAGTTACTATGAAAAATTCATTTGGAGATTAACTATAGCTAGCAATGCCATTATTAGAGATCATCTGCTCTTTGCTTACGAAATAACTGCACCTTTATAAACAATTTATAGAGAGTTAGCTAATTGTTTACCTGTATGCAAAACATTCTATTATGTATAATCATTTGACCACTTCATATAAAGTGAACTCTGTACTTTTCTTTTAAACCCACGTCATGCATTTGCAATGGCATATAGCCTCATTTTGGCCTGTTTCTTTCTTTATGACTTTTTGGCTCAATTCTAGTTGAAAGGGACAGACTGGGAACAGCAACAAAGAACATTCTCTAAATTTATAACATTCTTCTACAAAGTCACCATGGAGGAAGAGCACAATTTACATTACATCCCCCTTTTTTCCTAAATATGTTTTCATTGACTTCCACAATTTTGTTGCATACATTGACTACATAAAGATATTCGGAAAAGATCAAATAATAATATTTAATTCTCTTATGTAATTATTCCAATCAACCATTATATTGTGATTCATTATAAGCAAGTTTTGCTTAGCAACATCCAATAGACATTTAATTCCTAACACCATAAGTAAATTAATCATAATAACAAAAGGAATATGTCATCCAACAAACTAGCTTTGTGTTTGGATACCTTTTGCTACCTAGCATGAGCAAAGACTGCATAGACATTCGGGTTTTAAGTCATATTTTAATTTCATAAAATGATTATTCACACACGATTGTGAAAAAAAAGCTTTCTGAAAGGAACTTCTCTCTTCATCTCTTCACAAATCCCAAGTACCAAATCCACTGTAGTTAAAAAATAAAAAAACAACTTGATTAGATGAACACACAGTTTTTATGAGTATTGATATAACCAGCAATGAAATTCTTAATTTTTTTAACAAACATAACTTTCTAATGACACCCAAACTTTTCTCACATTCACATTTAGAAGTTATATTAGCACTAAATTTCTTTTCTCAAGAAAAATATATTAAAACTTTATCAAAACGAGTTGCAATGGAATGTGGGAGTGCATGTATTTATCTCCCTAAAGAAATGGCTTGCTAACATTTGAAATAGTTTCTTGACAAAAATAAATAAATAAAATTAATATATATATATATATATATTATTTATATATAAAAATTAAAAAAAAAGATATATAAATTTAAAAAAAAGATGAACAAATAATATAAAAAAATATTTTTTTTAAAGTCAATTCCTACTTTAAACACTAGAGTTAAAAAATAATTAAAATTGAAATATTTTTTTTAACGTCAAAGTGTCATTCACTAAAAGTTTAAAGAAGTGTATTTGAACTTAAGTGGATGAATAAAAAGTATTTTATTAACGACTGAAAAATTTGAACAAGATATAGGAAGAGTGTGAACTAATTGTAGGAATTTAAAAAGTTAACACCACTTTCTTTCCGGAAAACAAATAGGGTCTGTTCACTCCAAAAGTTTAAATATGACACACCCCTTAACTTGCCCAAGAATATTTGGGATTTTTATTTTTACACTAGCAGCTTCGCTGCCAGCCTTCGTTTGGCTTTTAAATGTACCGGAAAAATGGCTGAAGGGAACACCAAACATTAAATTTAAAAACTGCATAGAATTTTATTCTGCAGAAAAACTTCATTAAAAAAGATATTACGTATAACAAAATTACAATGAAATAAGCAATATCCCTTAATACAAATATTAATTATCCTAATAAATAAATTAACCAACTTCCCTTTGCAAAATCTTAAGAACTCAAATGGTATAAAGGAGGTTAAGAACTTTGTTTCCTAAAAAAAATCACTCAAAACTTTTCAGTATCTTACAGACAGTGAAATGAGCAATAAATAACATAAAAGAATACAAAAAACAAAAAATTCTGAAAAGCAAAGTATAATTAATGATATTTTATGTTATATTTTCAAGAGGAAAAAATTAGGTGCTTTTTTTTGGTAGACGGTTCCACGGATTTTTGGCGATTTACATTGGCGCTATTTTCACAGTCATCAAGCCATCTTGAAAAATGCTGTTTTTACGTATTTTACGCATATAGTAAAGTATTCAAAACTTTAAAAAAATAAATATTGTTAAAAATAATGGATTAATTTTTTGTTGAAAATGTTGTTTTTTAAGATGGCTGGCAAATGTAAATAAATACATTTACTAAGAGTATAAAATGCTAAAGTAAGGTTAAATTATTACTTTCACATAACAAAATAAAAAATAATATTAAAAACATTGTGCCAACATTTAATTGGATTAAAATATTACTTAAATTGAATATCGAAATAAAAACATCATACCAACGTTTAAAAGAATTAAAATATTACTTAAATACTTTAAAATAAGTTTTATAGGAATTAATTATTTAACATTAAAACATATGTGACAATAAATATCTCAGAAACTTTTGAAAACCTTGTATTAATTTTTTTAATGAAAGTTGAAGTATACAAAGTGAAAAAAAATTATGTACTTACATTATTTAAAGTTATTTACCTGCCGTATATTGATAAGTACCACACAAAAAAAAAAAAAAAAAAAAAAAGTCTTCTAACGATCTTCATCTGTGATCCACATCTCTCGCACTTTATTGAAGAAGCAATTAGCGAGGTTTTCTCCAAAAATTTAAAATAAATTTCCTCTGATGCTATTAACAATTTATAAATAAATCTTTGATTAGAAAAGCCAGATTGGCCGAAATAAGGTCTCAAAGGTCAATTTTTTTATTCCGATACCACTAATTCTTGGTAATTACCAATAACAACATTCATCTTCAAAACGGACATATCCATTCCATTTGAAATCTGAGTAATTCGAAGAGATGAATGATAAAATTTTAAAATGAGGCGGTAATGCACAAATATTCAGTAACCAATCAGGGAGCTGATTACATCACGCATAGAATTAAAATTATTTAAATAATCATTCATCATAAAATCATTTTTAAAATAAATGCAAAATTAAATTGTATTTTAATACTTAACAGCCATAAATAATGTTTAAAACATTAGATTAAATTTATAGATATTAATAAAACCAATTACTTTTTAAGTAAGGTGATGTCATTGATTACATCATCCACGACATAAAATTATATAAAATATTATAAACAACAAAATTTTTATTTCAAATAAAAATGCAAAATTAAATTGATTTTTAATATTTAGAAGCCATAAATAATATTTGAAACACTGAATTTATGCATAATAAAACGCATTATTTTTAAAATAAAATGACAACAAAGTATCAGTTACCATAAATAACTTATCCAGCAATGGGTTTACCATAAGTCGTATTACTCGCCAAACAAAAAATCGGAAAAATCCGTGCAACCGTCTACCCCCCCCCCAAAAAAAAAGACAATAAAAAATAATAATAAAATGAAATATGCCAATCTCTTAAAAACAGTGACATAAGAAATACGATGAAAAATTGTTGCCAAACCCATATTTCTAAAAGAATGAAACTATTCAAAATAATGCGATTTCATCAAAATCTATCAACAATAAGGAAAATTGTTGCCAAAATCACATTTTTAAAGATGTGAAAGGTGAGAAGTGTACTCGGAAGCTTCATTAAAAAATTTTTTTTTAAATACAAAATATTATCATTTTTCCAAAATTCTTTTTTAAAAACAGTCGCAAGGATGAAAGTTTAACGTGTCCAAAAATCAAAGAAAAATAAACTGTACATTTTTAAACATAAAACTTTTTTAGAAAAAATCCCACTGAAAAGGTGTTAAGCTCACTTTGTTAAATAAATTCGTATTTAATCGATTTATTGAAACACAAAATTTATTTTAAGTTCGTAAAATAGCTAAGTGCCTACGTTGCATGACGATGCGAAAATGGAGTGCGTAGAGTAAAATCTCACTTTCCTATAGCCCATTATGTCTCAAAATGATGTGATTTCGTCACAAAGCATAAAATAAAAAAAAATTCGAATTCGAATTTTGAAAAAATCGCTTCGAGGTACACTGGCTCTTGTCTAGATGCACCTATGTACCAAATTTTGTAGTTGTGGGTCTATTAGCTTAAGCGCAGTGCGAACGAAAGACACACACACAGACACAGACTCTTTGTTTTATTATATGTAGAGAAGATAAACTTAAAGGCTCAGATATACTCATGTATCTTGATAATATCCTGTTTAGAAATTTAAACCTCGAATAAATTTGTTACATTGAATTAGTTACAAATGTGCCTACAAGATGCCACAAGTAGTCTACTTTTTGGTTTTACAACTATTTGAAAGTGTTCTAAAAAGGTCAATGTTAGTAGTTCTAATTAGCAATTTGCTTAAGCTATGCTATATGTATTCTGGTCTTTTTTTTTTCTTTTTTTTCATTATGAAGTTAAATATAGAATTTAGTGGGTCAGAAAGCGACACTTCTCACTCTGACAATGTAAGCAAAACAGCAACAGATAAAGAAAGTGATTCTAGCAATGTTAGTTTTTCCAGCATTACATTATGATGGGAAATAGGTTTGAATGCAGTAGTACCTCCAGATAGACCAATATTTAGAAAGAACATTATCAGAATTATTATTATTATTACTATTTTTATTATTAATTAAAACAAAGCACTTGCTTCTAAGACATTTCTAAGTGGTATTACCTTTTAAAAGCAATGAATACATTTGGGATTCTAATATAACCTTTTTTCAACACTTTTTAATTACTCCTTAAGTGAAAAATTTGTCAAATTGTTATTTGCAATAACTTATACTTAAAACAAAGTTTAAAATTCAGCAATTAAAAAAAAAAAAAAAAAAAAAAAAAAAAAAAAAAAAAAAGAAAATTTGGACAATCTTTTACAAAATAATTGTTAAGAGGTTAACAGTCAGAGGCAGCATCTCAAAAGTGACTTAATAAACAATATACATTTCATGGAAAAGAACTCCCCCTCTTGGGGGAAAAAAACTGACCATAAGAAGTGTGACTTTCTAATCTAGTTTATAAAGGTAATAAAATGGCATATAAAGGTAATAATGCTGTTGCATTTCAATATAACACATTTTTATATTTAGTAAAACCTTTTATAAATAAGAAAATATAAGTATGAAAAATCTACCATTTTCAGCAAAGTTATCGGCATCTGTCACCCACTGTGTCAAGCTCGTGAGAGTATCTGGCTCATTACCACTGAATACAAGAAGACAAGCATCAGCATTCCGGAAATAGTTTCTTGTAAGAGTTCGAAATCGTTCAGTCCCAACTGTATCCCAAAGTACAAGCTAAAAGAGAAGGAAATAATTTAGTTTAATAAACAAAATAATGTGATTCTAAGATAGTTAATTTTAACAAAAAGTAATCTACACTGAAAAGATCACAAGTTTTTCACCTTATTTAAAGTAACAACATTAAAATTATATTGCAAATTTCTAGAATGTTGCTGTTTTAAACTTAAGATGGCTTAGCTATTAATAATAACAAAGCACTGATGAGCTATCTGGCCAGAAAGAGATGTCTTGGTAAGGAAATTGACTTAAACTGAGCATATATAAGCCATTTGCCTAAGCTTTCAGTTCAGTTTTAATTGACAGCTTAAATGGAAGATAATTCTTACTACTACCATTCTTTTTTATCACCACTTTCTTGTGAGATCTTTCATAATGATAGATTGATACTGTTCTATTATCATGACCGGATCCAGAAATATATATATGCAGAAATGTGTTTATGTAAGCATGAATGTATGTATATACATATATGCACATACAATACATACACATGCATACATTCATACACTTCTGAATTTGGTCCTGATAAAAGAGCAGTACCTATAGATTTTTAACCCTTTCAATGGCAAGTTTTGTGACATTATGTGTACACTACAGGTTGTCCATTTTTATTATAACAGAGTACATACTAGGCTGTGTAAGTTTAAACTTTTAATACAAAACACAACAAAATCCTCAATCTGTCATTTTCCAAGAAGGAAAGAGAGATGAATGTAAGAAGACAATTAACTGATATGTATTGTAAATAAATGACATTTACTATTTGTAATATGAGTACACTATATTAAAAATTACTTTTTAACAACAACCATATTTTTTTTTTTTTTTCATTATCCTTTACTTTTTGACTGTTTTACCTTAAATACTTTCTGATTAACTGCACACTACTATCAGCATTTGGTAAAACTGCTGTTTTTGGAATATTTTTAAGTATGCATGCATGCACAGAGCATACATGTTTAAGTACATGTGGTTTACATGCCTTATATTTAACCATCATCTCACTGAACAAGAGCCACCAACTGTAAATGTTGGTCATATAGATTGTTTTCTCTTAAAATTCCTTATAAATTTTTTTTTAAACTTTTTATGAAAAGAACAGTATTTATACACACAAATAGCTGAACAAACATTTTTTGCTAATTGACTAAATTAAAAATGAGTCGTTGACTTTTTCTGGGGGTGCAGATAATCAGAAAATTTAAAAAAATCATATTGATCTTTCGAATACTTACAAAAACTCTGAGTACATAGCTCAAGTAAGATACAAAAATTTCTTCAAACTGGATTGAAGACTTAAGAGTACAAAGGCTTACCTAATAAAAAGTAAGTGGTTTAACTTCCATTTAAATTACTTGGATGGCATAAACTTTAAATAATAAAATACAACATATATACAGAGGATGTTCACACATTTTTGTAATGATTTCGCAAAGATTTATATATAAACAAACCTTAGAATTTTATTTTATAATATGTTCAATCTGATAGCCCTTTTGTTGATTTATCATATTATATCTTGATTTCCAAGACAAAAGTATTTTTCTTAAAACATCAACTTGATTTTATTCCACTCCTCCTTCCAAAGTCCATCTAAAATTTTTGTATACTGTGTATAAAGAGCTTGTTTTAAAAGTCCAAATGCACAGTAATCCGTAGGAGATACATCAGGCAGGGTTGCCACTCAAAGAGGAGAATGAAATTCCCTGACTTTCCAGGTATGTTTCGAGAAAATTCCAGTCTATCCGCGTAATGTGCGTTGGCTGTACTAAGAGGTAAACTAATTATGGTATTACTTGTACTGTGTAGCAAATTCACTTAATTATTCAATAATTACAAGAGGACATTTATTCTTAATTATTCTTGGTACACTTTGTTTGATAATTTTGTTTACTTTTCCGCTTAAAAAACTTAATAAAATTTAAGATATATACATTGGATAACAACTGTGTGTTTTATTTAATTATTACTCATGATCATCCCCAGTTCAACACGAGGCTAATCCGGTTCTTATAAATCACAACGCAATGCTAAAAGTTAGGTTAGATTTTAGGTAAATTTAATTTGTGTGAGGTGTATTCTTAAAAGGCACCTTAACACTTGAAAACACAAATATAATTATAATAGGAGTTGTTTTTCTCCACTGAATTAGAATCTGCCCCAATCTGCAATAAAATAAGGCTTTTTTTGCAGACATTCTGCAGCTAAAAAGAAAGAAAGAAATCTATTTAATTAATGATATTTTTTACTAAATTGAGGTATTTTATATTTATTTCGCATACATAAAAGAAAATATGTGCATTAAATTTCGTGATGTCATCATACTGCTAGAATTAATTTCAGGATTATGCCAGAGAAAATTTCCTGAAATTTGGAAATATTATTTACTAATGATAAATAAATTTAGAGGGAAGAAGCAACATTTAATGATATGAATAACATAAAAATAAAGATAATTACTTAAAAATTTAATTAGAATAATCAACGATATTTTAGCGCTATATATGGTTATCCTAGATGATTGATTACTATTTTTTTTAAAATTTACTGCAAAATGACAAGGTATTTATATATATATATATAAAAAAGCTTTTGCGTTGAAATCTTAGTATACGATACGGCTTTTGCATGATTTTGAAAATTGTCGCCAAGAACAAAATGACCCGTTTACTGCTCACCATCATGTCGCCAATTCCCACTGTACCATACATGGAGATTATTCTGACCAAAGTACGTCTATGTAACAAGTGGAGGGAAAATTTGCCAAGGGATTTGACGATGGAACGGCCAGAATTTCCCTCTCCGCGATGTGTACAGGAAATTGAGAAACACGTGTTAAGAAGAAACGTTCTTTGACAAAAAAGAAAACTACGAAAATCTGTTTTTAAATTATTGCGAAAAATCCAAGAAGAAACGTTTTATCAAAGAACGTTTTTTCTTGGATTTTTCGCAATAATTTTAAAAACGGATTTTTGTAGATTTTTTTTTTCCCCCCGTCAAAATAACTAATCCATGAATTAATTTACTTGCGCCAAAAAATATTTTCTTTTCCTTTAGAGTTTAAAGACATTTTAAACGATATTCATTTTATGAACTCTTGATAACGTGACCTTCGAACTTCGACACCGTTTTCGAGCTTTGCCGACAGATATATCGCGCATGCACAGCTGTTTCCCGCTATGATGGAACCGAGCCTTGTCTGTTGCAGAGAGGTTTTCCTTCTTTACAATACATATTTTTTTAATTCTAACCTTCATGGTACCGTATACTAGGATTAAACCCATTTTGTTTTATACGAGAACAGGTACTTTCTTTAGTTCATGCACTGCACATGCGATTCTCGAGGTTTCTGGAAACCAAAAGTTGCAGGAAACTTGCTTTGCCTTTCTAAAAAGACAATCAAATTGGAGCTGCGAAAATTGGCTCTATGCCAGCTGCCCGAATGACACTAACATGATACACAATTCGCCAAAAATGTGACCTCTTCCGACGTCGGCGCAAAACTCGCTTTTTTTGGCGGGATCGTTGTATGAAATTCCCTGACTTTTCCAGATTTTGACTAAAACACTTAAATTCCCTGACTTTCCTGAATTTTTTGGTCAATTTCCGAATTCCCTGACTTTTTTCCGGGTTTTCTAGGACAGGTTGCAACCCGGAGTTGATTCCATTTTTTTTGTTTTATTGAGAATTTGGATGATGAATTTTTCTTTTTCCGGTTTTCCAGGTAGCGTGGCAACCCTGATCAGGGAAATTGGGTGGGATGCAACAGTAATCCGTAAGAGATACATCAGGGCACTTGGGAGGGATTCATTTAAAGGGAAGAGCTTCAATTCCGGTTTCATTTCTCATTTTTTCAAAAAATAGAGCAGTAGATTTAGAGCTATGGCTTCAAGTCTTATCCCGATGGATCTTAACACAATGAAGATTGTTTGGTTAAAGAGATGGAATTTTTTCTTTAAAAATAGGTGTTAAAGCATATTTCTGACAGTAATCCGAATCAATTAAAAAATTTTTTCTACTTTCCTTATTTTATGTTTTCCATTATAAGAGAATCCAGTAATATCCATGAAACCTCTAGAAAAACTTTCCTTGTTTTCTTTGAACTAACATATCAAGTTTTTTTCTCCTCTTTTTTGGCAATAAATCGATCTTTCTCTACTCTTAGTCAGATAAGTATATCCAAGGCCTCATCAATTGTAACTATATATTTCCATTTTTCACATGCCAAATAATTTTCATACAGCAATCTGCACACAGTCTTATGCTGAGAAACAAGTTTTTGTTTTTGTTTTGTTTTGATTAGCTTTAAATCAGATTTTATAATTTTGTTCAGTTCCTACAGTGATATTTAAAGATTTTACAATAGCTCTTTGGTGGCTGGATTTTCCTTCAAAACATGAGATGCAACTTTAGATTTAATAAGAGCTGTACACACCTTTGTTGGGTATGCATTTTTTGCCTTTTTTTTTAGTCAAATGTAAACTCTGACATTTTTTCCTATAATATTAATTATGTCACTTATTTTACGTGTAGAAATATTAAAACCATCCTTTTCACATCTTCTTTTAATAACTGAATAAAAGTATTTCTCTTCGGACAGTACAAATATTTAGCCTACAATCCATTGTTTATTTTTCAGAGACATTTTAAAGAAATACTATATACTAACAACCATAGTTGGTGCACAGTTCAGCACCATGGGCACTATACATATGTTGATGGTGGTCATTTTGAACACATAGCATAATATTCTCTCAGCCGCAGATCTGTTACAAGATATGGACTAGCAAACAGTCAACAATTTTTTTATGGACCAATCTATACAGGGTTGCCATACATCTTGTACAAACAGGATTATCACTGTATTTCACTATTCAATCCCATATTACTATTTGAACCCTTTTCTCCCTAAACCTTGTGTCAGACAGCCAGCAAATGACGATAAAAACTATACTTGCAGATACAAAATATATTGATCAGAAGTCATGTCTAAT